TTGCTCCTATTGTCACTCTTCAAAAGTCCAAAACCATTTTGACTACTGATCCTTTATGTGTTGCCAACTTTTTGTCTCAAAGGAATGAAGAATGTTTCTCATCAATCAGTAGTTCTTTCATTTATCCAAGATAAAAAGCAGTTAGGAGTTAGAACTAATTGAACTAATTCAGAAGCCTATGCCATCAGAATATTTCTTTTTTTCTGGAAATAACCATTACACTACACTTCTCCAATCTGAAATTCTGTCTGATCCATGGGGCTTAAGTCCTGATCTCTAAGCCTTGCCACTGCTGCCTACTGAAAATTGACTCTTAACTTTTATGAGTTGTTGATACAAGCCACCTGATTTTAATATCCCCCACTATTCATTAAATGAGCTCATCCTCTGACCTGTGTGTGGAGCCTTGCTACTCAGAGAACAGCAGCATCACCTGGAAGCTGGTTAGAAATTCAGAATCCCGGGTAACACTCCAGAGCTATTGAATGAGAATCAGTAGTGTAACGAGATTCCCCAGGTGATTCATATGCACCCTGAAGTCTGAGAACCACTTGTATCTTGGGGAAGTATAAAAAATACTGATGCCAGAGACTTTTATTTAATTTGCCTGCCATAAACCCTGGCTACCAGGAGTTTTAAACACTTCCCCAGGTAATTCTAATGTATAGACAAGGTTGAAAATCACTGGCCTAGACCATTACTACTCAGTGTGGCCTGCAAACCAGCAAATTCAACATTAGCTAAGAGCTTGTCAGGAAATCAGACTCTTAGGTCCCAACCTCCTGAATCAGAGTCTGCAGTTTAACAAGATCTCCAGGTGATTCACATGCACATTAAATTTTGGGAACTCCTGGCACACTGTCATTGATCTCAATTTCACTTACAAGCTGGTCCAGTGACCATCAGTGAAGGTTTTCTCATTGCTCATCATTGTCACTTTTCCTAGAAATCATCTTTTAAAGAAGTGAATTAAGGCCAGGCACAGTGGCTCACGCCTGTAATCCCAACACTAATCCTAGCACTCTGGGAGGCCGAGGTAGGCGGATTGCTCGAGGTAAGGAGTTTGAAACCAGTCTGAGCAAGAGTGAGACCCCATCTCTATTATAAGTAGAAAGAAATTAATTGGCCAACTAATATATATATAGAAAAAATTAGCCGGGCATGGTGGCACATGCCTGTAGTCCCAGCTACTCAGGAGGCTGAGGCAGCTGGATTGCTTGAGCCTGGGAGATTGAGGTTGCTGTGAGCTAGGCTGACGCCACGGCACTCATTCTAGCTTGGGCAACAAAGTGAGACTCTGTCTCAAAAAAAAAAAGAAGAAGAAGAAGAAGTGGATTAAGAGGACTCTAGAAAGAAACTCCAATGTTTTAGAAGAAAAGTAAAAAGCCAATGATTTTTTAAAAAAAACAAAACTGAAGCTAAATCTACTCTCACATTTCTACTGGTTTCATATTTCCCACTCAGAAAGTGAAATCAGCGTAGAAACTGACAATATAACTAAATTCATCAATTAAATGATTTCTGTATATAGACAATTTTGAAATTTCTTCCTCACTAATTCCTTAGTCATTATCAAGTCACTCCAGGTAGCTTCTACCTAGTACCAACCACCTGGTCATTACAGTGAAAGACTCCAAGAAAATTGAGTGAATTTCATTTTTAAGTGACCAGCAGAATATAGTTTTCTGTTTCTCTGTGTTAAAGTACCTCATTTAAGGCCGGGCGCGGTGGCTCACGCCTGTAATCCTAGCTCTCTGGGAGGCCGAGGCGGGCGGATCGCTCGAGGTCGGGAGTTCGAAACCAGCCTGAGCAAGAACGAGACCCCCGTCTCTACTATAAATAGAAAGAAACTAATTGGCCAACTAATATATATAGAAAAAATTAGCCGGGCATGGTGGCGCATGCCTGTAGTCCCAGCTACTCGGGAGGCTGAGGCAGGAGGATCGCTTGAGCCCAGGAGTTTGAGGTTGCTGTGAGCTAGGCTGACGCCACGGCACTCACTCTAGCCTGGAAAACAAAGTGAGACTCTGTCTCAAAAAAAAAAAAAAAAAAAAAAAGTACCTCATTTAAATTAGAGAGGAAAGAGTTGTTTACAACATGTCTCAGTTTCAGAATTAGAGTGATAGACAAAACTATTTATTTCACTGATGCCCACAGATCATGATTCCTTAGTGGCATGCAAACTCTTTGCAATAGAAAGCCTCCTGAAATTTGGTATTTCCCCTGGCTCCTGTGTATCAGCAACTCCAGCCAGTATACTAGAGTTAATATAGAGAGGGACTAACATACTAAATGCTAGCTGCGCCCCAAGGGTTGGAAAGAGAATGCACTCCAGGGGAAACTTGGGGAGGCCACTGAGACCACGTGGGGAGAAACACAGGGTTTTACAGCAATACCTCAGAGGAAACACAGATTTAACACCAATTCACATGTTGAACATCTCAGCAAATTCCTAGAAAACAAGCCTCTGGAGTCTCCAGAAGTGAAGGAAGTGCGATGACCCACATATAATGCCCTCACCTGGAGTTTTCCTCATCAGAGCCAGGGAGGAGGAGATGCTTGATGCTGAGGTTGTGCCCGACTCCACCGTGCCCATCCCGCTCTCCGTGGTGAGCCAGGAAAGCCATCGCTGCGTGTAAGAGGAAAGGACGGATGGTCTGTATCACAGCCACTGCTGTGACACACTGCAGAGTGCCTTTCACTTTACAAATCTCATTAGCACTGCTTCTCTGGAGAGACTCAAAGGAGGCAGTATAATAGAATAGTGTAGAGGTTCCACATGTGGAATGCAGAACATGTATCCTTCGGGTGAAGAGTCATGCCTGTTCTCTGAGCCATACTTGGAAAATTAAGGGTTAGAATAGATCATTGTACCATTTTTTTTCCCATTCTATGACTTCATGATTGTTAGAGATCATCTTTCTGAAAACAATCTCACTTTCCAGGAGTATTCAGGTGGTGTGTTCTTTCTCTCAGGCTAATGTGGAAGACGAATATACTAAGGGACATTGGAAGAAGGTTATTTAATCAAGCTATTGTACTTGGGGTGAGTGGACTGGTGTGTTGATTGGTGGTTTCTTGTCCTGAAAGAAGTATAGTATATGAAAGAGCTGGTCCCTTAGGATTATAGTTCAAATAATGATTTATGGAAACTCAAATCATGAGAAACAATATGTTTATGGCATAAAATGGTGAATATTCCGTTCTAATAACATAACTACATTTTGGAGACTTTGGAGTGGGGGCAGTTATGCAAAACTTTGTGGGGTCAGTTTATGCTATCAATGTGGAAACTCTGAAAATTGATTATTCAGCCTTTTCCATTAAGCTACCCACCCTTTGATGATTCCATCATTTATCTGCACTTTCTCCAAAGGCTTTGGGAAAATAATGTTGCTGCTAATAAATGCCTTACAGGGTCTAGTGGTAGAAAAGATGGAATGTGGTGGGAAGTTGTCAGTGTATAATGGAGAGCTTCCTAAACTGTTATTCACATTAAGCAGGCACGGCACATTTCTCAGAACAAAGGACGGGAAGCTCACATCTCATGATTCTGATTCCTGGTTTAAATCTGTGAGGCTAGACAGGTCTCTGATCTGTGTAACAGGATGGTGATTTATTTATGTTTCATAAATAACAATCTGGAAATCACCTATTGAGCACCTTCTTCAAGAGAGATGGTAAACAAATGTCTTTTAAATTCACCACTAATTGGAAAGCTGGACAACTTTAGAACTTGGATGCTGAAAACTTTTTCTGTGCTTCTTTAAAAACCATCAATGGCCTAGAGATATTGAAGTCCAAACATTCATTCCCAAGGATGATGATACATGATCCTTCTTTCAAATTCTGTGTTCTTCCTTGCCTTTCAAATTTCTTCTGTTACATTCCTAACAAAGTTATGACTGACGACCTCCAATACACAAGGCAAGAAATCTGAATTTAACAAGAAACTCAATATTGAAACTATCATTTTTTGTTAAGACTTAACTAGTACATTTTAAATATTAATCAGTTACAAGATTACTGTTGTTTAAACACATTTATTTGTACACTTTATTCAAAACTTAAATATATAACTTTATTGCTACTGAAAAGTACATGCTGTTCCAAATATTTGAAAATGTCCTCTTCTTCCTTTCAATAAACAAAATTAATTCTAACAGATAAAATTATAGATAAAATCTCATTTGATCTCAGATTTCTTTGGTTTTGTTATCCATAAAGCTCACTAAAACTAAATTTTTGAATTGAAAGCATCATTTTCTTTATTTCATATAGGTGGGATATGAATATGTAAATAAGGTAGTTCCTTTTTGTATAGTATGTGTAAAAAAATAAACACTTGCAAATAGAGGTATTCTCACTTGTTCTTTAAAGAAAAGATATTTGATATAGTGAGGATTTTTTTAGGTGTCATTCAACTAGCTAGAGTGAGATTTAAAAAGAAAATGCTGGGGTCAGGAGAGGTTTATAAATATATATATATATATTCCTTAAAAGAAAATATAAAAGCATCCCTGCATTGTGGGAATAGTGATGTCTGTGAGAACTAATTCAGTGGTCCAGGTGTGAGTTTAAATCTCCATGCAGCAGCCAACTGATTTTGTTTTGTTGCCAAATGTCTACCCAATCTCATACCAGCTATCCTCAAAATATGTCTCTTTTACAACAAGTTGGGCTGAATAAGAGAAAAATGAATAACTTTGTGTATGAATACCCATAATCAACATTGGATACAGATCAAAAGCTGCATAGGTCTTCTTAAGCATCAAAGGAAAAGAAAGAAAAGAAAATTGTCTTGTTGTACCACTGGTATAGAAAATTCTAAGTTGCATTGGATTCTAGCAAAATAATACTGAGGTTTAGAACCACAATCACTTCAAAATACGATAGGGTTTATTCTCACTCACCTGGTCCCAGAATATCTTGTGTATTTTTCTGTATAGCTCAAGTTCCCTTCTCAATAAAGTCCTTGAGATATATAGAAAGAAAAGAAACTTAGGTAACACCCAATGTCTTTCTTCTTTGTAGATTTGAGACCCATGAACAGGTCCGCAACACATGTTGTGACTGAATTTGTTCTCCTGGGATTCCCTGGTTGCTGGAATGCACAGATTTTCCTCTTCTCGTTGTTCTTGGTGGTTTATGTCTTGACCTTGCTGGGAAACGGAGCCATCATCTGTGCAGTGAGATGTGACCCACGACTACACACCCCCATGTACTTTCTGCTGGCAAACTTTGCCTTCCTTGAGATCTGGTATGTTTCCTCCACTGTTCCTAACATGCTGGCCAACATTCTCTCCAAGACCAAGGCCATCTCATTTTCTGGATGCTTCCTCCAGTTCTATTTCTTCTTTTCACTGGGCACAACTGAATGTCTCTTTCTAGCAGTAATGGCTTATGATCGGTACCTGGCCATCTGCCGCCCACTGCACTACCCTGCCATTATGACTGGAAGGCTGTGTCGCATGCTGGTGTCTTTCTGTTGGCTCATTGGATTCCTTGGATACCCAATTCCCATTTTCTTCATCGCCCAACTCCCCTTCTGTGGCCCTAATATCATTGATCACTTCCTGTGTGACATGGACCCACTGATGGCTCTGTCCTGTGCCCCAGCGCCTATTACAGAATTTATTTTTTATACGCAGAGCTCCCTTGTCCTCTTTTTCACTATTACGTACATTCTTCGATCCTATACCCTGCTGCTCAGAGCTGTTTTTCGGATCCCTTCTGCAGCTGGCCAGAGAAAGGCCTTCTCTACCTGTGGCTCTCATTTGGTTGTGGTGTCTCTCTTCTATGGGACAGTCATGGTAATGTATGTAAGTCCTACCTACGGCATCCCAACTTTGATGCAGAAGATCCTCACACTGGTATATTCAGTAGTGACTCCTCTCTTTAACCCCCTGATCTACAGCCTTCGTAATAAGGACATGAAACTTGCCCTGAGAAATGTCCTGTTTGGAATGAGAATTAGTCAAAATTCATGAGCCCAAAATATGCCATACTTACAAGTTCTAAGGAAGAACATGATGGAGATGTATCAGTTCTTTCAGTGATTTTTTAGTCCTCAGCCTGAGTAGTTTGAGGTCATATATTTTACCTAAAGTGTGCCCAGCTTAAATACCTTTTTGATACTGACTACTTAAATCTCACTTCTCTGGTCTTCAACAGAATTGCTGTATTGAAATGCCCTCCTACTGAGATGCCCCATGGTTCATCACTGCACATCTTCTTCCTCATTACAACAGGGTAGCAAACCCAACTTTGACTACAGGTGTGCTCCTGGTAGTCTTTATGTGACAGGAATCAACAGCAGCACAATACCCAGCATAGAATAAGGCCTCAAAAATGTTTTTTTTAAATATTTTTATCTAAGATGTAACAAATTTAAGCAATTCAGAAGTACATAAAAATGACAGATTTTTATATAGGCAAAGGACTTGAATAAGCATTTCATGAAAGAATATATACAAGCACAAGAAAAGATGCTCAGCATCGTTAGTCATTAGGAAAAGGCAAATCAAAATCACAACGAGACACCATTCATACCCACTAGCATGCTTAGATTCAAAAAGACACAATATCAAGTATTGGCAAGGATGTGGAAAAATTGGAACTCTTATACATTGCTGGTAGAAATGTAAAATGGTACAGCCCCTTTAGAAAACAATTTGGCAATAGTTAAGCATAGAATTACCATATGACCCAACAATTTCACTTGTAGGTATAAACCCAAGAGAACTAAAAACATGTTTACACAAAAAACACATACACAAACATTCATAGCAGCATTATTCATAATAGCCAAAAAGTAAAGTAAAACAGCCTAATTGTCCATCAACAAATGAAAGGACAATGTGGTATATGCATACAATTAATATTATTCTGTGATTAAAATGCAGTTAAGTATCATACATGCTACAACATGGATGAACCTTGAAAACATTATGCTAAGTGAAACAAAACACAGAAGACCACATATTATATGATTCCATTTACATAAAATGTCCTGAATAAGCAAATCCATAGAGACAAAAAGTAGATTAGTAATTGCCATGGACTAGGGGAAGGAGAGGATGGGAAATGACTACTGCTAATGAGCACTTAGTTTGTTTGGGGGGGGTGATAAAAATGTTCTGGAAATATAATAAATAGTGATGATGGTTATGAATATACTAAAGCCTTGTGAATATACTAAAAAGTATTGACTTGTACACTTTAAGTGAGTGAATTTTTCATCAGGTAAATGCAGATCAAAACCACAATGAGATGTCACCTCACATGTGTTAGGATGACTGATCTCAAAAGGACAAACAATAACAGATGTTGGTAATATTGGTGAAGATAGGATAAAAGGAAACCCTTATACACTGTTGGTGGGAATGTAAATTTGTGCATCTACTATGACGAAAAATATAAAGGTTCCTCAGAAAACTAAGAATAGAACTACTATATGATCCAACAATCCCACTTTTGGGTATATATCCAAAGGAACTGAAATCAGGATCCAAAGGAATTGAAAGCGATATCTGCACTTGCATGTTCATTGCAGCATTGTTCACAGTAGCCCAGACATAGAAGCAACCCAAACGTCCATCTACAAATAAAAGGATTTCTTAAAATGCAGTATATTCATACAATGGGATATTATTCAACCTTAAAAGGAAAGAAATCCTGCCATTTGCAACAACACGGATGAATCTGGAGGACATTATGCTAGATAAAGTAAGCCAGACATAGGACAAATACCACATATATGATGAATGTAAAATAGTAAAACTCATAGAAGCAGAGAGTGGAATGGTGGTTTTCTGGATAGGGAGGAGAGTAAAACAGGAGGGTCTTAGTCAGAGGGTACAAAGTTTCTGTTATACAAGATGAGTAAGTCCTAGAGATCTACTATACAGCATAAAGCCTATAATTAACAATACTGTTTTGTATACTTAAAATTTTACTAAAAAAGCCGATAATATGTTATGTGTTCTTATCACAAAATAATTATAATGGTTCATAATGGGATGAGAGGAAACCTTATGACAGTAGTGGATAGGTTATGGCATAGAGACTGCGGTGATAATTTCACAGGTATATACTTATCCTCAAACTGATCAAGTTGTACTTTAAATATGTACAAATTTTTGTATGTCAATAATATATCAATAATGTGTTGGGTTTCTTTTAAATCTGAACGTGTTTTCCAAAGAAATCTAGAAGCAAAAATAAAATTAAAGAGTAAAAATCTTAGCCCTACAAATTTTCTACTATAGGGCAGAACATGGTCTTACTTGTGCTGTGCTGCCCTCTAGTGGTCATTGTGCTTCCATTGCCTGCTTCAGCATAAAACAGGAAAAACCTCAACTCACACAGACATAAGAAAAGGAGTATATCCATTAATTGAATCTTCTAGTTAACTGAAGACTGATGGGGGTGGGGTGGGGAGGACCTTTTGATATTAAGTATGAAACTTTTATAATATATCATCCCACTTTTGTACTTTAGTAAGTTGAAAATAATTTAATCTTTTACCCCACAGGGACTCAGGAAGTGTAAGTTGTTGGGACAGGCAATCAAATGATGGGGGTCCGAATCCCAGTTCTACACCAGCTAGCTATGTGTCCTTACATAGGTCACTTCACCTCTCTGGTCCCAATTCCTTTATCTGTAAGATAAGAATGTTCAACTGAGTAAATTTTCTAGGGTTGCTTACACTCATTTTTCTCCTCAAAATACGATAGGACTCGTGACACGTGTAGGGGGCGGGAAACAGATACGTGAACAGCCCATTTTAACTTGCTGTACAAAGTGCTGTAGCAGAGTAAGCACAGGATGCTGTCAGAGCACGTGAGAGGAACGCATAACCCAGTCAGGGCCTAAGGGTGTACTGACGTGGCCTGACTACAGGATAGGGGATGACACAGAACATAAAATAACGACACAGACACACATGGACATGACAATGACTCGAGTGACCAATGCACCGGTCGCTTTATTTTTGTACCCCCCAGACCCAAGTTTAGGTCCTTGTACGTGAGCATCTGAGCATAGCAGCAATATCAGTCAATTCTGGAGTTGTTTCAAAGGGAACAATTTTCCATTATCTCATACCTCAAAACGGTTACTAAAGTTAAGGTGCCGGACAGAGCTCAAAAGCCAAGGCCGAGATAGGCAACATAAAACAATGCAGCCATTTGAAGTGCTTCTTGGTCTCAATCCCAGGTGGCGGCTCCTCCCTGGCCCCCACGGTTGGGGAGACTCTATGGGGAGTCTTACCCATCATTGACTACCAACAATCATTCGGGGGCCAGTTGTTGGGAGAGTTCTTCTTGTTCTTGTTCTCATGGCCTCCAGACTCCCACCACGGGGGCCCTCTGTGTGGGAGTTGGGAGCATTTGCTTATGTGCAACAACGCAGGCCTCTTATCAAGTCACAAGGCAGCAACCGTGTCTGAAGAAAATGCTGACTACTGCTGCGTCAGGCAGCACACGTACATTACAGACTAGAGTGAATGATTAGTATAAGGCATAACACCAGAATCAGCCCCCAACAGTGTATGGAAGGCGGTAGGGAAATCTTTGAGAAGCAACATCTAAACTGACACCTGATGGGTGAATGGGAATTATCCGATGAGCAGGGATAGAGGAGAAGCGTGGAAGAAGAAACAATATTTACAAAAGATTATAAATGTGGCCGGGCACGGTGGCTCATGCCTGTAATCCTAGCACTCTGGGAGGCCCTGTGGGCGGATTGCTCAAGGTCAGGAGTTGGAAATCAGCCTGAGCAAGAGTGAGACCCCGTCTCTACTATAAATAGAAAGAAACTAATTGGCCAACTAATATATAGACAAAAAATTAGCCAGGCATGGTGGTGCATGCCTGCAGTCAAAGCTACTTGGGAGGCTGAGGCAGAAGGATTGCTTGAGCTCAGGAGTTTGAGGTTGCTGTGAGCTAGGTTGATGCCACGGCACTCACTCTAGCCTGGGCAACAAAGCAAGACTCTGTCTCAAAAAAAAAAAAAAATCATAAATGAAAGGTAGTAAGCGTTCAGGAAAATGAGAATAGTTCATTTTGGCTGGAATATACAGTATAAGGGAGAAATGTCAAAAGATATAACAGAGCTAAGCACAGGCCAGCCCATTTAAGCTCGTTGTATAAATCAAAATGACAACTTTGAACTTTTTCATAAGAGCAATGGGAAAAGTTTGAGAGGTTTGGTTCAGAGATGACATAATCATTTACATTTTTGAAAGATCAATATGACTACATGATAAAGAAGAAATACGACTACGTGTGCACTAGAGAAGCGAGGTCAAGATTAAAGGGAGAGGACCAATTATAAGAGCACTGAAGTAATTAAAAGAAGAAGAGATGGTGACCTGATTTCAGACAGTACTTCTCAAAGTACAGTGTGCAATGAGAAAAGAACAGAAATTGAGAGAAAGCTTTAGAAACTTTTATAACAAGTCAACATTTTGATAATGTCCAAGCTTGTATCAGTTGACTCATCTCCATGAACAAGATACAAACCAGTTTGGGTGTTGTAGTACTACCTGTGTATACTAGTCAGCTACAATGGAACCACATTAATCAAGTGATATTTTAAAGTAGGCTTGTAAACTACAACCCAAAATATACAAAAATTGAGAAAACATATACTTTATATTTATAGCTTGTTTTATGATCCTTTTAATTTTACTTTATATAATATAATAAGTTAAATTTTGGATATATAATTTATATTATTTTTAATTCCAATTTATCTATGGCAAAATAGGCTGTATTGAACTCCTTTTCAAGAAAAGATACATCCTTTCTGAATGTAGTCATTGTAGTAAACCAAATGATAACAATGGAAATGGTTCCCAACAAATGAAGACAAAAGTTCACACTGGTTTTACTCAGAAGTATGAATCCTCCTCTATCTTTAATAACATAGCTATAATTATGTGTGAAGTGCTAAAACCAAAGGTGTTACTTGCAGAGATACATTAGCTAATGATATGACAAAACCATCAAAACTTAAGCATCTTTCACATA